TCTCCGTCGCTGCCGACGACCAACCCACGCTTCTCCGTCGCTGCCGACGACCAACCCACGCCTCTCCGTCGCTGCCGACGACCAACCCACGCTTCTCCGTCGCTGCCGATGACCAACCCACGCCTCTCCGTCGCTCCCGACGACCAGCCCACGCCTCTCCGTCGCTCCCGGCGACCAGCCCACGCTTCTCCGTCGCTATCGACGCGCGGCCGAGTGTCGTCGATAAATATAACCAACAGCATCGTTCGCCCACGCTTCCTATAAATACCGGATTCGATCCGCATTCGACGCAATCGACACGCGCTTCGTCGTCGGACGAGATCGAGCGAGCGAGTCGATGGGTGATATCGAGTGTATAGTAATATAAGCCAATTCCCGCCGAAAGATTGTATCGGTTATAAATATCAACGGACTGCGCGGCGTTCGTGTAAACGTGGGAAGCGAGCTCGCGTGGGTCGGCGTAGCGACGCCTGCTAGCCGACGTCGCTCTATCTTAACAACACAACATCGATACAGTCGCAAACTAACGACTCTACGACGCTACGACGAGACGAGATTAAATGCCGCTACGTGAAACTGCAGCCCGGGAGAAGACGCGAGAAGTCGCGAGAAACTGCGAGAAGCCGCAAGAAACCGCGAGAAACCGCGAGAAACTGCGAGAAACCGCGAGAAGCCGCGAGAAACCGCGAGAAGCTGCGAGAAGCCGCGAAAAGCCGCGCACACGAGGCGCGTGCGAGAGAGAAGCGCTCGCTTCCAGCACAGTGAAAGCATCGCCGATTCGACAGCGCTTCGCCTTTGTATATCTCTCCATACTGACTTCATTAGCTGACGATGGAGGAGGAGGATGAGGAGACGGTGGTGGAGGGAGGAGGAAGGAGGAGGAATGGCACTGACTATAAGAGAGACTTAGTACAAGTATGAAAAACCATCACATCGATTATAAATATCGCTGCGGCTACGCAGTGATATGCCTAATCCATCGATTGCCAATTCAATGAATTGCAATTCATCGATTGTTTAACTCAGGACGGTTGCCGATCAATAGATGGCTGATATATGTTATTTGCCTATTTCATTGATTGCCGATCTCTGCTGATTGCTATACATCGTTTAGCTTAAACGTCATCAATCAGCCCAACCGGTGTGACATTTCAGCCGGAATTCCGCGCATATATCGCGCAATGTTGTTCTATGCGTAACTAAATCTATGCTGATCAGCGGCTGTGCATACCAGATTCAGCGATGGGCGGAAATACGACGGTGGATCAATTGAACAGAGCTCTCGATTTTTGAGATGAATAAGTCGAATAACAGGCAGCAACGTTTATTCGCTGTAGTTAGTCCGCGCACGGCGGTCTGATGCGAGCTCTCCATTATGCGCGGGCAAAACACACATGGCACGCACGCACGCACGAGTGGCACGCCCACACACGCCACTCACACGCACGCACGGCACACACGCTGCACGTACACCACATGCACGGTACGGCACGCACACATACACACACACGCGCGCGCGCGCACACACACAGGCCACGACACATACATAACACACACATACACGCACTGGCACGCACGCACCACACTACACCGACACGACTCAGGCAACACACGAAGACACACACACACACACACACAGCCACACACAGACACAGCACACAGGCTGGTCGATTTAAAGCTTGCCGTATTGCCAACCTGTCACTGTCGCCGCCGCTACCACCAGCCATGAATTCAGCACTTAATCCTGATTCGACATGATCTCGCAATATATTCCAATGGCAAATTACACGCGCCTGCACTCGTCGGCTCCTGCTTATCTAGGTCATTATCGTTAGTAATATTGCTGGCTTTATTGCTTTTATATGACCGCGATCGGATGCGCAAACTCACGTGCAAACTATGTGGCAATTATCGTATTAGAAATTACTAGGTTACACGCTAATCAGAAGCGTAAACTAATCAGAGTGAGCAAGAAAGCTGATTCGCGGGGTTTTGGCCGCATAAAATTGTAAGTATACTTGGGTTTTACTTACATTGGCGGGGTTTTTTTGCCTGTACGCCATATACCGTGAACGCATGGGTTGACATTTGCGATTGCTCCCGCCAAAAATGCGGCATGTTAGTTCAGGTTATTTGACGAGGCATATGCTGAAATTTCTCGAAGGAAGCTAAAGACAGACTCCATTGAAGCCTCACGGCCCTCTTTCAAGCTCTGCCTCATTGCGTTTTAGAGTCAAGTCTATAGAACGACAATATAAGGGAGCATGATACAAGTACTGAAAATATAAGTAATTTTAATAAGAGAGCAAAACAAGAAAGCGTTAATCTAACAAAATTACGTCGTTTTATTTCCTTTGAACCAACATTTTGACATTTTGCATCACATTTTGAACATTTTTGACCACACGTGCTGAATTCGTGACTACATAACATCCTCTGGTGCATCTTTTAAGGGTCGCTGACTTTAGCTGCATCTTAATCGTGTGCACGTTCACTGGTCTGAAGCGTACTCGCTTCACTTGTTTTTAGTACGCGCTCTAATGCTAAATCTCGACTTTGAATCGAATTCCACAACTTCCTTTTCGGGTCTTACGGGCAGAGGGGGACTTCAAGCCGCTTGTAAGAACGCACCGCTAAAACTTTGCAGCGGAAGAACAAATGATACGTAATTAGCTACGATGACGGCACTTCGCGTGCGTCGCATGGTTCGTAATGCTTTTGTCAACTAAAGATATTCTCTTCGGATTTTTGAATTAGAAGCCAAAACTTCGTGGTGTCGGCGCCTCAATCGTTACTGGTATCCCCTACTGCCGGTATGATTTGCCTGATATGCTACGTGTTTGCTAGGGCTATGGTTCGCGTCGACGCACTCAACACCCGCTCCTTTACGCATATGAACTTCCAGTTCCGAATTTGATTCATACCACTAGAAATGAGCGTGATATCTTCATCTGTCGTCTTATATAAAAGAGTACTGGCAATATATTTACATCTGTCTCGTTTGCCAGTATTTACTATGAAGTTAGCAAAGTAACGCCTAAAGCAACACCTATAGCTAGTGACTTAGCAGTTGCGCATAATGCTACACCTATAGCTATAAGTTCAAGTGCACTTTAGCAGTGCCGCATAATCCAGCACCTATAGCAGTAGAAGTTCCACTTACTTAGCACTTTAGCAGCGCATGCTAACGCTACACCTATTTAGCAGTAGCTTTAATAAATCAGCTGGTACTCCTAATGCTAACGTCTATAAGCCTCAATTAGCCAAGTAGCCTCAGTACTTTTCTTAACTTAACTAAGCTCAGTAACCTAACGGTTAGGCTTCGGCGCGATAGCGTAGAACGCTACACGACGTCTTTGCTTGGTATGCGAGGTTTAAATTGCCGAATGCGGCGAACGTCAAGGATTTGCTGGACAAAGAGGCGGTTTCGGTTTATATGCGTGCCGTTCTATCACTTTGGCTGCGCGTAAGTCTGAGATTTAAATTTGTGGCTTTGTAAGCCGCCCGACGAGCGATCTGGTGAGATTAAGGTCGCTGTTTAATAGTAATTGCGGGCGGAAATCCGCACCGTAAACTGCCATCGGTAACATGCAAACAGATTACATTTTGTGCTTATCTGAAAGTAAGGGCGAGGCGTGCGTGTAATGGCACGCGTGTTCATAGATTACACCGCGAAAGTGCCGACGCCTTTACTCGTGTGTGAACTAAAGCTCATGTTTGTTGCAAGAACCTCATGACAATGCCAATTACGTGCGCATGCGCACACGCACCACGACATATTTATGAAAACTGCAAAGTCAAAACGTCATCTATTTAAACATTGCCATTTAACACATAAACATTATATTTTAGGTGCTACATTTGATTTTGAGTTCTATTTATTGAAAATGAATATTATTGTCGTTTTTAGGATCTATATATTTACAATGTATGGCAGTCCGCTATTATAATCAGGAATTGTTATAGGCGATCGTCGTAATTTTAAGTATCTATATTTTACAGTGTTGCAGTCGCTGTTTTATAATCAGCCTTTGTTAATGTGCACGTGAACATATCTGAATGTAATGTGCCGCAATACAAATCAATAATATTATTATTATTATTAAAGAGGGAAGATTATACGCGGTGTAAAAAAAAATCCTTTATTGTATTATACCTGATGTTAAGAACACCCAACCGTCTTTTTTACGAATACGCTACGCACTCACATACGCACCACGATGCACGCACGCACTAGCTGCTCTTTGCAGATATGAATGTCGGCACTTTGCATTATACAAGAATCATTTCTGTGCCATCGTGCGTGTCGAAGGCCTAGAGAAGTGTGGGCCTCGGCCTGTCGGCTACAAGGGAAATGTCGCCGCGGGCACGTTATCGACGCTGGCGACGCGCCATCACGCAACGAACGCCGCGTACGCGCGGGACACACACGACCACACAACACACACACACACACATCACCACACACACACACAGCACACGCACACCACCCACACACAACCACCAACACACACACTCACACACACACATTCACCACTACACACACATAGCACACACACACAGCACTCACACACACACAACACACACACCACACAGCACACCACAACACACGACACACACACACCACAACCACACGCACACGGCCACGCACGCACGCCACGGCGAACGCACGGCACGCACGCCAACGCACGCACGCGCAGCGCGCGCGCCACACCACACACACACACACACACACACAGATAGAGAGAGATAGAGAAAGAGGGGGATTGTGAGAGAGAGAGGAGAGAGAAGAGCAGAGAGAGAGAGAGAGATGAGAGAGAGCAGAAGAGAGAGCAGCAGAGAGTAGAGAGAGAAGAGCGAGAGGAGAGACGCTTGCCGATACTGCGTCTGCTAAGATAATTCCTCAGAGGCAGACCTGTGTTGGACATCTAATTATGTGTCTCGGCGATTTCTGTCGCAGTCTGAGGAAGGCCGCAAACGCCCGGCCAGAATGTTGCCCATCGCCATATGTCAAGAAAACTGCTTTGGGTGAAAATTATTATATAGCCTGTTGTATACTTTTTCTCGGCCAAACTATATGGCCGGCCGTGGTGAATGTTTTATGTTTCTATGGTTTGTTTAATAATGGAACAGTTCTGCGTTAAAAATGCTCATGAGAATGACCTGCAAGAGAGTCGCAAATAAAATATCGACCTCGAATCAAGTCTGCGCGTGCATGTATCTTCCGACTATAAGCGGACGA